ATACGTTAGGATTCGCTTAAATAGATTAATTGTTTGGGTTTAATTTAGTTGATAGTTAATCACAAGTCCCTATGGGTACGAAATCCTATATTACTTGTCGACCACGTATACTTGCGTGTGCGTTTGGGGGAAACAATTGGCATAGTTTATCAAAGTGTTACGAGGCATGTCCTCCCATTGCAGTTGTTGTGTCCATGTTCTCTTCCTTAGACGAGTGGCCCCTGCACGATCCCTTTGCAAAAAGATTTTGACAAAATTCGGTGGTTGTTCAAAAATGGTTGTAGTTGTAGTAGAGTTCATGTTGCACCCCGCTTTTGATAATCCATCAACCACCTCATTCCCCTCCCTGTAGGTGTGTGTAATAGTAGCACTATGCAGTTGGCCCAGGAGGTGCCTGCAGTCATGTATTATATTAGTATAAAGGAGGTTATCTTTTTCTAACATTGTGATTACCTCTGATGCATCGATGTTGATTTTCAGTGGCACCAAATGATATGTGTTTGCCAGTTCTAGGCCATATAATAGAGATTTTAGTTTTGCCTGAACAATGGTGGCATTATCCAAATTCCCTGCAAAACCTATGATCCAATTGCCATTCGAGTCGCGTATTGCTCCTCCTATTCTTGCTTTCTGAGTTAATGTTACTACAACCCCATCCGTATTTAATTTGTAGTAGTTTAATTTAGGAGGTATCCATTTAATAGATTGCAGTATGGTTTGTTTTTTTGTTGCTACCTTCGCAGCGAGGTAGGTGAATTCAAGTGCATGATTAGTAACCTGTTTATGGGTAGCTCGATCGATTAACTCATATGATAACTGTTATTTCTCGCAAGCACAAGTAGCAAGTAATTCTGCACAGCAAAATTTAAGTACATGGAAAGACATCACTCGTGACTTTTTTTGTTTCTATTGGAATTTTTAAACTCTAATTTCTCAAAATATTTGCCACGTCAGCGACAGTGACTACTTTTTTTTGTTTGGTTTCGACAATGACAGTGACTACTAAATCAACCCCTGGGTGCTAATTAAATTCATTCTTCTCTCCTGTTGTTTTGTTTTATCCAAAACCAGAAAAGAAGAAAAAGAGGAGAAAGAAAAAAAGGGGAATGAATTCAATGCATGATTTTTTCCTCGCTTGTACAACACCTAATCCAACATCCCCATATCGTGCGATATTGCTTGTCAGAAATTCGCTGAGGCTCTTTTTGATTTGGTTGGTGCCTCAATGATGAAAATTAGAAAACAAAATATCAAAAAGAGAAATATTTAAATTGATGAAAACATTTTTTATTTGCACCAAACAAATTTAAAACAAATCTAGCTAGAAATCAATGTAAATACTACGAACCTGATGCCCATACACACGCGGGGAAATATAAGAGGCCCCCCTACGCAGACGCAAAATCAAAGAAAGGAAGACTGAGTTGACCACACGAAGCTTCTCATCTTCTACATCCCTGCTTTCATGACGTATATCAATTTATTAAGCAATTACTTATCCAGAAAATTATGTACTAACTACAGCTCCGTTCGTCCCAATTTATATGGTACAGTTTGACTTGGTGAAGTTTAAGAAAATAAATTTTTTAGAAATTTTTTATTTAAAATAAGTTTTAGAAATTTATATGGTTAAATCATCTTATTAAGAGTGAAATGAACTTATTAAGCTAAACTATTTTTAAATATAAAAAATAATATTCTTTTTTTAAAAAAAGTGAGTCACATAAATTGAGAGAAAATGCGTATATAAGGCCTAAAAATGCCAATCAAATTACAGAAATGGCCTATCGATGTCATCCCTTAAAAGCTCGCTATTTCCATGCCACTACCGTTAAATATTTGGCCTATCTATGCCATTATTTGTCTAACGGCCGGAGTTTTTCTTTTTTAAATATTTATAATTAGTGAATAGACCTCACATTTCCACGTGTCCGTTCATTATTGGTCCGTCTTTACCCCTGCCCTACATTAGTTTTAACCCTGGTTAGGTGAATTTACCAATACCCAACTCGGTTAAAACAAACCCAAAATTTTAACTCAAAACCTAACCTTTTACTCTCCGGTCGTCTCCCCCAAATCAGTAACCCTCTATCCACCATTAAATTCAATTTCTCCATTATTATTCTGAATTTCCTAATAGGTGGAGAAACTGAATTTAATGGTGGATAGAGGGTTGCTGATTTGGAGGAGACGACTAGAGAGTGAAGGGTTCAGTTTTGGGTTAAAAATTTGGGTTTGTTTTAACGGGTTGGGTATTGGTAAATACACCTAATCAGGGTTATAACTAATGTAAGGCTGGGGTAAAGACGGACCAATAATGAACGGACACGTGAAAATGTGGGGTCTATTCACTAATTATAAATATTTAAAAAAGAAAAACTTCAGCAGTTGGCAAATAATGGCATATATAGGCCAATTGTTTAACAGTAGTGGCATGGAAATAGCGAGCTTTTAACGGATGACATCGATAGACCATTTCTATAATTTGAGTGACATTTTTAGGCCTTTTCCGTTCATTATATAATAGCCTTAAATTAACATTTTCTCGTTTTTTGAACATGAACCTTCGGGAATTCAAATCATTAAAGCTATCACTTTGAGTTCTGGTTTGATGTTTTAAATCACAAGTACTTTTTAAACTATATTGTCATTTAATATTTTGCTTTCACTATCACTAATATATGATACCCTTTATCTCAATTCGTTTGACATCGACGTTCTCTAATTCGTTCAAAACAAAATTAGTCGCTTTCTAACAACATGTAAATTAGAAAATTTTTACACATGCATTTGCCTTTAGCAGACATAACTAGTTGTAGGTCTCGCTGGATAAAAAACAAATGGCTTGGTACAAAATAATTATGATATTTTATTCATGTGTATCAGCCTACTGTTTCATATATTTTGTGTTCAATCAAAATAATATTTTGAATTTTGTGTCAAACTAACATTTAAGATGCTTGTTTAGCAAGTTAAAATAGCACGGTCTAGCCAGTTTTCGGACTGGTCATTCAAAAATAGCTAGCGTTTATCAAGTCAATGAAAAATAGCCACTATTTTGCTGCAACAGAGACCGGTCCAGCATAACATACTGGAGTTCGGTGCACCTATGTATGAACTTCCAGCATATTATGCTGGACCGGTATACTTTGTTGGCTCCAGTATAATATACTGGAGACTGGAGCACCGATGCTCCAAACTCCAGTATATTATGCTGGACCGGTATATTATACTTGAACTCCAGTATATTAGACTGGAACTCCAGTATATTATGCTGGAGTATTTTTTCGGATTTTGAACAGTGTTTTCGTTCATATTTATCTTTACATAAAAAGTGGCTAAATTTCGATTACCTTTGAAACTGTGGCTATTTTTGAATGACCAGTTGTAAATCTAGCTATTTTTGAATTTCTCCCGTTTAGCAAACCCGACTAGAGGGTAAGGAAGCCCAAGCAATGGCTTTTGAGCCCCCAAAATTTATATATATTGAGTATCTTAACCTTAAAAAGTAAAAAAAATAATACAAAAATGAAAAGAAAATTTTAATTTGTTATTAACGTTGATCTTTGAGATTCGAATAATCTAAAAGGTATAAAGATATTTTTGATTTTTTATTTAGTGGGTAAAATTTGAGATCACTAGATGATAAGAATCTAAAAAAAATATTGCCTTAGCCTTGACTAAAACATAATAGTCTGATATGATAGTTTAGACTTATTTTTAAATTATATAACATTAAAGAAATTACTACAAGTAGAAGATAATACTCTGATCTGTGCACTCAATAAGATAATAAGAATTATTTTTTTTCAAATACCTATATTCCTCGTAATACAGTATTCCTATAACAATTTTTGCGAAGGATCAATAATATTCTAGAGGAAGCTAAATGGATCGGATTAGCTATACTATCAGTTAAAAAAAACTTATTAGAATAACTTGTTATAAGAAAATTAATATTCCCTCCGTTTCAATTTAGATGAGGTAGTTTGACTTGACACGAAGTTTAAAAAAAAAGACTTTTGAAACTTGTGTTAAGCTTAAGGGGTAAAAGATTTGTGGGACCATGATATTTGTGTGGTTATAAAAGCTTTTCATTAAGGGTAAAATGGATAAAATGAACTGTTTAAAGTTGAATTATTTCCAAATTTAGAAATGTGTCATTTATTTTGGAACAGACTAAAAAAGAAAGTATCTCATCTAATTTAAAATGGAGGGAGTAATAACTTTGCATCTAAAAAAAAAAAAAAATAAACTTCAAACAAATTTATTTTTGTTAACAAATTCTCTCATGAAGATTTTGCTTTAGGCCACCAATAATGTTGGGTCGCTTGCTCTTTAGTCAATCCATCGTATTGAAGGAAACAAAGGGAGTATGACTTTTGCTTTTCCATATGCCCGCCCATTCATGAATATAAACTTGACATTAAACAATTCATTTCCTACTAGTTTGAGTTTTAATCATTTAATGGTACCCTATTTTAGGAGTACATGTATTTTTTATATATCCTTAATTAGATAGATCCTTTGTTTTGGGTAAGCACTATGCAGTCTCATGGAAGCCTCGACCTCCAACAGTAATAAGAGTAATATAAAGGGTCAAAAGAGAAGAATAAGATTTCAAAATCACACGGGTATGGGAATAGAAATTGGTCTGTTTGTCTGTTCTTGGTTGAGTTTTTAATGTGTTTTGTGCGGGTCTGTTCTCTTCTTTCACCTCCTTCCCCGTAGCTTCAGAATCTAATATACTTCTCTTCACCGTCAGTACTGCCCCTTTTATATATCCCACACGAATGGCAATGGATAGCATTCATTCATAACAACTTTCTTAAACAAAAAGCACTACAACTTAGTCATTGATCATAAATATATGTTTGAAAAATCCTGAAAAGTAGTATATTTTTTCAAGAAACTCGAAACCTAGAACCAAGTTTAAATCCTGATTCTGCCTCTGCAACCAGCACGACTTGTATTTGTTGTTACTAATTTTCCTGTCCGTTATGGCTTTCCTTGGGTGCTTTGGATATAAGCTGATAAAGCGCGGTGGAGTACCTGATGCCCGTGTTATTGTGGAAGACGACAAAGATGATGGGTTGGATTGCACAACGATTACAGGTCAGGTGACGAGATATACAAGCGGCGAGTTGAAGAAATTCACCACGAATTTCTCAACGTCTAAGTTGATTGCCTGTGGTGGATTTAGCACTGTCTATTTAGCTGAATTTGCTAATTCAACTCTAGGAGCTGTCAAGATCATGGACAGCAGCAGCGAGCATCTCAACAGAATTTACAAGCAAGAATTAGACATCTTGCTTCAAATCCAACATGATAACATAGTCAGGCTTCTTGATCACTGTGACGATGCAGAATTGGGGAATATGTTGGTATTTGAATATGTTCCAAATGGGACTTTACAGGACAAACTCCACGGGAAGAGAGACACAATTATTCCATGGAGAAACCGTATGACAGTGGCATTTCAACTTGCTCAAGCCATTGAATATCTCCACGAAAAAAGTCCATTACAAATAGTCCATAGTGACATCAAAGCTTCAAATATATTGTTAGATAAGCAATTCAACTGCAAGCTTTGTGATTTTGGGTCAGCGAAGATGGGATTTTCTTCCTCAGTTTTGCCACCAACGAACCGTATGATGCTTGGTTCTCCAGGCTATACTGATCCTCACTACTTGAGAACTGGCATTGCCTCCAAGAAAAATGACATATATAGCTTTGGAGTTGTTATTTTAGAACTCATTTCAGGGGTTGAAGCCTTTTCCTCAGACACGGGGGAGAGACTAATATCAAAAGCTGCTCCTGTTCTGAAGAATGTCTCTACAGTAGCTGAAATGGTGGATCCGCGCCTTAACGGGGATTATGAATTGGAGGAAGCTAAGGCCATGGCGTCGCTTGCAGCATTGTGCTTAAGTAACTGTTCCAGTCTCAGACCCTCTGCTTCTGAAATCTTGGAGGTTATGAGAAGTAGAATGTCTTCCATCTCCTTTCTCTGTTCAGTTGATAAAAAGGTTTGAGAATACTAGCTAGAACTAGTATTTAGCATAAACGGATGACATTTGTATAGTGCTCTGAACGATATGTCATAGCTAGACAAAAGAATCAGTTCAAGAAACTTCATACTACTTACGGGTTGAAAGATTGAAATTTTAATGGTCGATTCAGGATATATTTTCTGTTCTTTTTCCTCCCTTTTTGGGGTTTCACAATTTTAATCCTTACGCAGTTATGAAATTTGGAGTTTTGTGTACATTGTTACCAGTGTAATATACATTTTTTGTCATGCACTAAAAGAATCTCATTATCATATTTCTATGGACTCATTCCCGCTCTCGGGACTTCATCCAATCACTCTCTAGATTTACTCTTACCGATATGTATATAAAGTGTTTTCACGATAAATATGAGGTATACAAGATCACGAAATAGTAGTTCCTCGAGCATAATGCTCCTCTAACTCTTAAGGGCCATGTGGTTATCAGGACAGGATACACAAGGGTATACTATGGGTTGAAATATCTTATGAAATTATCTATTTCATTTTCTGTATGGAATAACTAATCCCATCATTTTAGTACAAAATAATTTCCGGAGCTAATTGATACTCATAATCAAACGCAAGATAAAATAATCCTGCATTTTATCCCGAGATTGTTATCCCTTATTCCACCAACCAAATGAACCTTGCAGTCCAATTTAAGCAAATAAGAGCCGCATGAAAAGCTTGATTGTATCCATGCCCAAAATAACATCAAAGTCTACCATATCAAGAAGTAGGAGATCTACACTAGTCTTAAGGCTCCCGATAGAAACCACACACGAGCGATAAATATGATCTACAACAATAGAATTTCCCACAGGCATGGACACATGGCAGTCTCAGTTCCAACTGCACTAGCATAAAATAATCTTGCATTTTATCCCGAGATTGTTATTCCTTATTCCACCAACCAAACGAACCCTTGCAGTCTAATTTAAACAAATAAGAGTTGCATGAAAAGATTGATGTATTCATGCCCAAAATAATATCAAAGTCCACGATATCAAGAAGTAGGAGATCTACACTAGTCTCAAGGCTCCCGATAGAAGCCACACACGAGCAATAAATATGATCTACATATAATAGAATCTCCCACAGGCGTTAGGGGTGGGCATAATACCGGCCGAACCGAAAAAACTGGCCGAACTGTAAATTTCAATTTTTCAGTTTTGATTTAATCGGTTATTCGATCAGTGTGCGCTTTTTAAATTATTAAATTTCGACACTCGGTACGATTTACGATTTTGGTATTTCAGTTTTTGGTTAAACCGAAAAAACCGAAGTTATGAGAGATGAGTTGAGAAAATCAGAAATATAGCTCATACTCATAGGATATTAATTATTGGGTTTGGACATACCTTTGCACTTTCAACCATCTTCTTTCGAATCAGCTAGTCAACGTTAATTACACAAAGTGTTAACTTCAAATAGGCGGCGGCAGTGGCAACAAACTCAATGAGTAGCGTATGTTACTTCTCACAAATTAGTTTGGCTATGTTTTACCTGTTTCTTAAGAACAACCAAGTTCTTAGTATGCATAGGGGACTGTGGCAGGACACCATTTGAAGGAGGCAATCCAGTCAAATCACATAGCAAAGTCTAAGGAGAAGTTTCAATCCATGTCAATATTATTGGTCTTGATTATTCAAAGTTAAAACAACAACAGCTAATGACAGATGATAGACGATCCAATAATTAGTTGTTTCCTACTAAGGTGTAGAGTATGCAAGATTTCCCATGTTATAATGTAACAAAAAAACGAGCAGTCTATGAGTCAACACATAAAAATCATGCATAATTAATAACCGAAAAACTAAACCAAAAATAACCGAACCGATCCTTCAAAAAAATCATACCGAACCGTAAATACTTTGGTTTGGTTTGTTTATTAGTATTACAAAATTAAAAACCGATAAATCGAACCGTACTTTCATACTAACCGACCGAACCAACCGACGCCTACCCCTAGCAGGCGCAGACACATGACAGTCTCAGTTCTAGCTGCAGCAGCCACTTCTCAGGCCGGGGGAGGTACTTAGACTTTTGCCGCTAGCACTCTAGAGCAGGTAGCCTAAGGACTCCAGACATCGGGGCAATACTAGCCCAGCTGGTTTTTGCTGCTCGGGCCCATGTTGGCCCACCTATGGGTGATGAGGAGTAGAAGAGACTAGAGCTGTTTGGGAGGCTCAACTCTCTAGATTTCAGTGGGGCAGAGTCAGAGGATGCTCAGGACTTTATAGATATATGTCAGCGGATCCTTCGGACAGTAAGTAATTTGGAGACCATTGGAGTTTTATTTACTACTTTACAGCTGATAGGGGCAGCCTACAGATGGTGGGAGGCCTATGAGTTGAGTAGGACAGCCGACACTGTACCACTTATATGGCATGAGTTCTCAATTTGTTTTGTAGAGAAATTTGTTCTACAGACTCGTAGAGAGAAGTTGCGTAAGTAGTTTGAGTAGCTACACCATTAGGGTATCTCAGTGACTTAGTATGAGATGAGATTTTCAGAGTTGGCTCGTCACACAATATGGTTGGTTCCCACTGAGAAGGAGAAGATTAGAAAGGTTCATTGATGGCCTAAACTATGGATTACATTTCATTATAGATCGGGAGATTGCAATGGGTACGAGGTTTGACAAGGTAGTAGATATTGCTAGATGCCTAAAGCTAGTTCGGAGTCCGAAGCGTGAGGAGAGGGAGTCCTAGAGGCTCGTAGTTCAGGTGGTTTCAGTAGTGCCTCATCTGGAGGGCAGTCTCAACATAGTAGGGGTCATCTTTATAGGTCCGTTCAGATGGCTCATCCCGTTCATAGTGGTGTATCAGTAGTCATGGTTCATTTAGGGCTTGTCCAGGTCAGTCACCTTTCAATGTCCTTCCAGATCAGAGCTTATCTCGTGCTCCATTAGTTAAGGGTTTGTTAGTACCTTGTTCTTCTAGCGGCCATTCTTGTTCTCGAGGTCTGGTTCAGTCCCCGCCGCCATTTGTAGATCGAGGTTTCTATGAGTGTGGAGATTTGGGGCATGTGAGGAGGTATTGTCCCCCCTTATGGGAGGTCAAGTTCAATAGAGAGGTCAGGCTATGACTTCCACATCACTTACTTCACCACCCGCTCAGCCATCTTAGGGTGGGACTCAGGCAGTTCGAGCTCACCCTATAGGGAGAGGTCGATCAGGTGGTGGTCATGCTCGATGCTATAATTTTTCCGCCAGGCTAGAGGTCGTTGCTTCAGACGCAGTAATCATAGGTATTGTTTCAATGTACCACAAGGATGCTTCCATATTATTTGACCTTGGTTCCACTTATTCATATGTATCATCGTACTTTGCTTGCTATTTGGTTATGCCTTGTGATTCCTTAGTTATGCATTTTCATGTATCTATATTGGTGGGCGATTCTACTATTATGGACCGTGTGTATCGATCATGTGTGGTGACTATTGGGGGATTAGAGACAGGATTTGATCTTTTACTGCTTAGTATGGTTGATTTTGACGTGATTCTAGGCAGGGACTGGTTGTCGCCATGTCATGCTATTCTGGATTGTCACGTTAAGACCGTTATGTTGGCGATTCCGGGAATGCCTAGGATTGAGTGAAGAGGTTCTCCAGATTATGTTCCCAGTAGAGTGATTTCATATATGAAGGCTCTAGGGATAGTTGAGAAAGGATGTTTGGCATATTTGGCTTTTGTGAGGGATGTTAGTGCTAATACTCCTACCATCGATTCTGTTCAAGTAGTGAGGGACTTTCTGGATGTGTTTTCTAACGACCTGTCGGGCATGCCACCCGATAGGGATATTGATTTTGGTATTGATCTGGTGTGGGACACTCAGCCCATCTCTATTCCTCCGTATCATATGGCGCTAGCAAAGTTGAAAGAATTGAAAGAACAATTTTAGGAGCTACTTGATAAGGATTCATTAGGCCTAGTGTGTCGTTTTGATCGAGGTGCACCGGTTTTGTTTGCGAAGAAGAAAGATGGTACTATGTGGATGTGCATTGATTATAGGCAATTGAACAAAGTTACAATTAAGAACAAGTACCCATTACCGCGCATTGATGACTTATTTAACTAGTTTCAGGGTGCGGGAGTGTTCCTAAGATTGATTTGAGGTATGGATATCACCAGTTGAAGATTCGATATTATGATATTCTGAAGACAGCATTGAGGACTCGTTATGATCACTACGAGTTCCTTTTGATGTCTTTTGGGATGACCAATGACCTACCATCATTTATGTATCTGATGAGTAGCGTATTCTAGCCATATCTTGATTCTTGTGGCATGTGGTGTCCAGTGAGGGAATCAAGGTAGATTCGAAGAAGATTGAGGCAGTTCAGAATTGGCCCAGACCATCTTCATCTATTAAGATCCGAAGTTTCCTTGATTTGGCCAGATATTTTTGCCGTTTTGTCCAGGGCTTCTGATAAGTAGGGATTTTGACCGCTTATTTGCTTTCTTTTACTTGCGTTTTAGCTCAAAAATGCTTATAGGTATTCCCAAGAACTAATGAAATGTATTTTTGTACAGGAATATTGGGAAACAAGCCAAAAAAGGCAAAATCAACTCATAAAGGAGTCGTGAACAAGAACCAAAACAGGGCAACCGTGTGGACTGCACAATTCTAGTGCGGCCGCAGAGAGGAGATTCAGAGAGTTAGTCTTTGGGCCTACTGAAGGCATGCAGACCACACCAAAATTGTGCGGCCACAGGATGTCAAGTGCGGTCGCAGTCCTTTTTATGTAGACCGTAGAAGCCCCAAAAGTTCCAAGCCCACGTTCTTGGAATGCGGACCGCACCATAATTGTGCATCCACAGAAACTCATTGTGCGGACTGCACCAGAATTATGCGGCGCCACAACCTTCGCAAGGGAATTTTTGTCATATATTTTTAGCTTAGTATAAATAGAAATTTTTGTTATTTTTAGGTTAAGCTTTGTATTAGGAGAGTGCCTGAGCGGTTTTCTTTGCTG